CTGCTTATCTCTCTGACTGGATCTCCTTCTAAATGACCCCTAGGGTTCACACTGTGATCCAGCCACTCTGCTCCTCCCTTAGGGCCTTTGTACCTGCTGTTCCCTGGGTCTGGAATGCTATTTTTTTCTAAGTCTTGTGGGCTGGTTCCCTCTCATCATTCATGCCTCTTTGTTGAAAGTTTACTTCCTTGAGACTTTTCCTTGACCGATGAATGTAATATGTGTCCCCACTTCCACCATTCCCCGTGCTCAATCTCATTACCGTTATGGACTTTGTAGTACTGGCCATTATCTGAATCTATATTTATTTGCTATCTACTTTCTGAAAATGTGATGGTGTAAAGATAAATTTCCACGTTTATTATTTTTTTCTAAGTAAGCTCTACACCCTAGGTGGAACTTGAATTCATGACCCCAAGATCAAGACTCACATATTCTATTGACTAAGCCAGCCGGGCACTCCACATTTATTATTTCTTCAGGGAAGCAGGAAGAGGGGGATGAAAGTCTTGAATTCCCCTTGAGGGTTTTTATTTAGTTTGCTAGATTCTGCAGAGCCACAAATGTTTGAAGTAGGTCAGTGAGCTGTCAAATGTTTTAAAATATTTGTTTGGTTAAGATGTTATAAAATGTAACCACTCCACAATACTCTGACCCTAGACTCACTGAGACACTATCTACTTCAACGGGTTCAGCTACATAGAAAATCGCTAAACAAGTGAAACGAATGACAAGAATATAAAAAAAGTTGAGACGTACCTGAAATTAATTTGATGACTTTAACTGGTTTTGTAACACGATTGTACAGTTGGTACCTATCTCCCTTATCCAAACTCCTCTCATTTCAGTGTGGGAGGCACACCACTTCAGAGATTATGTAATTTTAAATGTGAGATCAAACTGTAGCAGGGCTGAGTCTTCAGTGGTGCAGCTGAGTCCGTAACTTCAGGTCAGTGCACTGGTGGACCCAAGGGCAGTATGACCAGACTTCGGCTGATGGGAATGTTTGAAAGATGCATTATATCGAGCTCATCCAGTAAGGGTAGGAATAGAAAGGCCTTTGGATCATTGAATTTAATTCCACTAAACCTTATAGAGTATGAGAGTCAGATTGTGGACTATCCAGATGAATAGGAAACATTTTTTTACATTAAGGAGGATGAAATCTAATCATTTAGCTCGGGGTACGCAATACCATTAAGCAAATTGCATAATTTTGCACAAAAACCAACAGAGATTGTTCTAAAATGACTCCTGTTGTCCTTGTGCCTGCCAGCCTATGAAATGTTTGTGTGGGTTTTGTTTTTCTTTTTCCCTCCTTTTCTCTCCTCCCCAACCCCCACCCACAGGGATAAATAACTTTTATTTATTTATTTTTTTAAAGATTTTATTTATTTATTTGACAGAGAGAGATCGCAAGTAGGCAGAGAGGCAGGCGGGGGCGGGGAGCAGGCTCCCTGCTGAGCAGAGAGCCCTATGTGGGGCTAGATCCCAGGACCCTGAGATCATGACCTGAGCCGAAGGCAGAGGCTTAACCCACTGAGCCACCCAGGCACCCCAGGGATAACTAACTTTTAAACACAATGTATGTATAAATATAAAGTTTATTTAGCATAGTGTTTAGAAAAATAAGTTCACATCATTTCAGAAAACAAATAAAACACTTAATTGTCCAGGCATAAACCCCTATTACAGTACAACATACATACTTTAGATCTCTTTGGTTGGGTAATTAAGCACAGAAATGTTCTGGGACATGCTCTGTGTGCCATCACCTAACAGTGCAGTAGAGACTCTGTTACCCCACCCCGTGATATACATTCTGTATAGATTTTCTATTTGTGTAAGGCACAGTAAAACCATATTGAGTATATAACCGGTCTCCTCTAAACATACAGTACATGCAACAAAAGAACAAAAATTGAGAACCCTGAAAGCCAAAAGAGTCACATGCTACATAATTTTGATTAATAAAATGTATGATTGTAATATTAAATTAACATGAAATGTATCAACTAGATACAAAATAACTCTTAGGCTCTATCATCTAAGTTCTAGGAAGACTTTGAAACATCTTTCGTAAAATGTAAATTCTTTTCCCCAAAAATGTCCTGAATTATTTATATTTTTATGATGAGATGATCTGTCAAAAGCATTGTTAAAAGAATGAAGAACTTCTGACTATGTACTAATGCACACTTGCCTAACATGTAGCAGGCAGGCTGCAACACATGCCCAATAATCCAACTTTTGACATGCAAGATGCACGGGCATATACAGGGAGATTTAAGGTCAGTGTGCAATTTAACTACACATTTTTACCTATGGCTATAACGTCTACTTGCCTTTCATAACACAAGAAAGGTACTGAAACGTGTACGAGTCAGTCTTTTCATTACTATAAATATACACAAGCTAGGAAACACTACAACACAGGTGTTCTTGCTTGCTTGAGGAACAAATGCACCGCCTCTTTAAATGATAAAACTGTTCTTTACTAGCTGTAACTAAGAGCTAAATGCCACCTTCTGGCATAGAGTGCATCGAGAGCCTCACACCAAAAATCCTACAGCCAGCAGCAGGGGTTGGGGTTTGAGGGAGAGTTTTTACCCGATTCTGATTCCTCTTTGGGGATCATTTGAGGGTCATTTGCAGCATCTTCAAGCATTGGTTTATGTAAGAGAAAGTCTGCCACATGAACTCCAAGGGTTCTGAGTCTGGCCCTTGGTATTGCAAAAAAACATTTGCAATTCTGTGCAAGGAGATCATGGGGTTTATCTTATTTCATTCACATATGTATGGGCTATAAACCAACTGGCCCTTATTTTACTGAAAGAATAGAAAAGAACAGTAAGTTCTTTATAATGTGCATTGATTCTTACCTGGTATATTGTGTAGCTACCTGGAGTCACTGTAGGGGTATAATGACATCATGTTAGGAGTATGAATGGGTTTCCTAGGTAAGTCTTAAGCTTTGTGCTATCTTTTCTTTTTCTTAAGGGAAAAAAAGAGGAAGAATTGTGAATAAAAGAGAGGCTTATTATATTTTTGGAAGACACATGAAACTTTCCCAGTTATATATATGCTATATATAACTTTTTAAACCTTCCTGTTTCCCTTATTAGATCGGTATTGTAAAATAATGAACCAAAACTCTCACTATCTGCAGCCATCAAGTGAAAAAACATCATTTTCATGTAAACTACACTACAGAACCATATAATTAATCTCAGTAACATGATCAGCACACACCTACAGAAAACAACAACAACAACAAAGAAAACCAAACTGAGTAAGGAGTGATGGAGTGGAAGAGAACTCTAAAACACCTGACTTTGTTAAAAAAAAAAAAAAAAAAAAAAAAGACAAAAAACTGTAGTTTCAGCAGTTTAAGAACATTCACTGATTCCATAAAAAAAACAAAAAGGGGGATCTAAGTTCTTTAACAAAACGATGGGAAGAAGTCTTGATAGGGCTCTTCATCTATGTCTGTGATTTCCATTTGGAATAACAAGAAAAGTGAAGTCCTCTATGGCCCTTATTCAACTTGCTTAGCGGATGGGCCTGTTGGGATCAAGAGTATATACTCTTTGTTCTGATCTTGAAGAGAGCAAGACTGGTAAAAGCTTTATGTTCGATGACTTTAAGTCATCTTCGAAGAGATCATTTTCTCCCATTTCTTGCTTTGCAGTCACCAAGAGACTTCACTCCCTACCTAAATGTATTTGCATTATTCCATTTTGTGTTCGGTCCTGATAGACAGAAACTATAACCACAGCTCACAACATTATCAAGCAAGCTTCTCAAAGAAACCCCAAAAGATTTACTTTTAAACAAGACATGATAATATAGTGCAAATAACAGTTGTATGTCATCCTGTAACAACTGATTCAAAACACCTAGAACTAAGTTTCATCAGGGCAGAGTTTTGCTCCAGAGAATTTACATAATTCTTTCTGTAGTTTAAAAAAGCTGTTTTCATAGTCTACAGAATTCATTTTACATGGTAATCTATGATTGTTATTTTCGTCGTAATGAAAAGCATCAACAATAATCAGTTGTTTATCCATTTACATCATAAACGTACATAATTACATAAGTGAAACTTAATTCTGCAGATTTAAAGCAATTTTGTGGTGAAAATAACCCTGTTAGATAGAAAAGAGCCATCAGTGCTTTTGTTGACACTTCTGTACCTTAAGAATAATTAAAAGGCCACAAGGTAAAAAGGCACATAGAATTCTATAGAAAACATATTTAAATGAATCAGAGAGTTGCTAAATAAAGAACAAGGATGTGAAAAAAAGTACCAAAATTCCAATATTGGGAGTTAGATTGCCTGTTTCAGTGTTATTAATATTGACCATAATAGACTCCTGATAAAAATCATCACTTTTAAAATCCTACAAAAAGTAAAACTTTGTTGGAAATAACTATGTTCACTTCCTGTTCAAGCAATAAAAATAAATTAAACAGTAAGAAAACATTTTTCTTTTCAGTTCATAGTGTCTGAAGTATAAGAGAAACATATACAGCATAAATAAAATTCACTGTAATTCCTCAAATCCTGGCTTAGAGGACTAATATATTTACACTCATACTGAAGTTTGTTTCAGCGTTTTTAGTGGAGTTGCAAACTTTCTCAGCCCCACTGCCTATTAGCAAGCACATTTGGAAATGTGTAGAGACAAACCAAGACTTTAATAAAAAAGGCTGAAAAACAGAAATGCATATATTCAAAAATAAACCCTTACAATAGTGCGGAGTACCATTTATGCTTCTTAACCTCATCAATGCCCATGGAGTAAAAGTAAACAAAAATAACTATATTGTTTCTAATGCCAATGTCAGGTGTATACAGTTTAAATTTAAAGAACTATAGAGTTCCATTTGACCTTAGAATTATATTAAGTTAACCAAATGATACACTTTGACTTGGTATATTTCATCTTGTTCCTTTGTCTCCATCTATTTAAAAGAGAACATTCATGAATGAAAAAGCTGCGGCAACGCAGTTCTACTCTTGTGTATTTAACTGTGATCTTCATGCAGATCAATCCAGTCCCTTGAATGCATTTACTCACAAAACTAGTGTTTCCCTGTAAATGGGAAAATGCTTTATGTCCTCAGGGCTTCATGAAAAGATCTGCCTGCTGATGCCAGAAAAAAAGGGAGGGGGCGGAGGGGTGGGTGGGAACTCAAGTTTATAAGTCTTGCATATCTTCATCCAACTGGACAGTTTGGAGCTTGGCAAGCTCTTTTTTGTCTGTTTCCAGATCTTCACAGACAGTCTCGACCATGCCCTCTAGGACATACTTGGATTTTGAGTCCAGCATCATTAAGTTGCTTGTGGCTTTGCCCTCAGAATTTGTTAAGAAATTCTCTTTTATGTTAGCTACTGATTGCAGAACCAAACGATGTTCTCTCACAAAATCCTGGTGTACTGCTGGGGAAGGGTGACCCACCTGGTCTTCAGCCGTAGGAACAATTTCCCCAAGGGCAGCCTGGGTCATGGGGACTGACAATAGATCTTGACCAGCAATGAGGGAACAGTTCTGAAGAGTTGCATAGTTAGTGTTGCTGACAGATGTCACAGTAGACTTGCTTGCCACAGGTGCAGACATTGGCTGGCTCTCAGCAATGTCAGGGTTTAAATCAGTGGGATTTAGTAAGGTAGGGGGAGTCAGGGAAAAATTGTGAGTTGGGGATACGTTAACTAATGAGGAGGCCAATGGATGGAGGCCACTTCCCGAGATATTTTCAGAAGACAGGTTTGCATTTATTTGTGGATTCTGATTGACAGGCATCAACTGAGAAAATACCAGGCTCCTCTCCAAGCCCTCCTGTTTAACAGATCCTATAGTCTGGCCTGAATTAGGAACAGTGTATACCACTGCACTGGGAGCAAGAGAGCTCAAGAAAACCTTTCCTTGCTGGACTGTGGTAGACTCACTTGTAAATGTGCTCCCATCTGAAGTGCTTGAATTTACTGAAATATTACCTAAAAAAAAATAAGGTACAGATTATCATTGATGAAATTGATAAGGAAGGGAAAAAAAGGTTACATTTTACACACACGATTTTTCTCAGGTTCAGCAGAATCACCTTGAGCACTTAAAAGTACAGATTCCTAGGCTCTACTCCTGAAAATCTGACTCAGTAAGTCCTAGGACAGGTGTATTTTAAACTCCCAAGTCTGATGACACAGTGGGAGTGAGAACTACTGGTTTAGAAACCAAGTGTGAACCCCCCCCACTTTTTTTCCAGGTTCTAGTTTCAGTCAAGTTTCTGGTTCATTATTACCAACTTGATTTCTCTCAATCAGTTGACAATTGTACCTAGCTCTGCCAGTAAGAACTAGAAAACACAAATGCAAAATAAAATACCTTTGTTCAAGACAAGTTCAGTAACCGACATAAATAGAAATGTAGAAAATCCCTGTAAAATGAGTTGCCCTGGGGCTTGAAGTTAACCATATAAACCTGTACAGACAAGTTTCAAACTTTCACCAAACTAACCATAAAGTAATGTCAACAAAATATTCAATAGTTTTTTCTTTTGTTGTGCCAGTTCTGGATTTTCAGGGTTGTGGTGATAGGAAAAATTAATGATGATAATAAAGTGTACTTCTAAAATTACAAATTAATGTAAATAACTAGAGCTAATGCTTCTCTAAAAGGTTCGTATTTTTTGACTCTTATTATAATGGTCCACAGAGAGCAGAAGCAGAAAAAGAAACATAAATGGAAAGCTGAGAAGATGTTAAAAAATGAGGTAACTCAGACCATGGAGATGAATTAGACCCTTCCCCTCACTCCTGCTATGAAATAAAACTTTTCTTTTTGAGTCTTTACATAGGCACAGTAAAATGATGGCAATGATCCTGCCGCTGAAAGAAAGGTGGACCTGAGGGAATTTTGTGACAGAATAATTCGGATGGGTTGTTTACTCTGATCTCAAATTAGATGTTCAGTAAACTATTATTTTGAGAAAACAGCTCAATACTAAAGGTGATTCACCTGAAACATATCCCTTCTTGAATTAGAATAACTGCTACCAAATAATTAGAACAATTTTTAATAATATATTACCACCTATATTGATAAATAAATGTCACAGGGCTGTTTATACGTCTTCCAAACACTTCTTAAATTCAAAGAAATGTCTTTAAATGAAAAAAAAAAAAAAAGACAAGACTGCATTTAAGCTTTAAAAAAGATTTAACCACTACAAAGTATTCTTCGTGGAAATATTGGTGTTAATAAAAACATTTCTATGTATGTCTGGGCTCTTCCCTAACATAAATGTTTGTTCCAGGCCAAACAAATGAAAAGGCTTTTATTTGACTTCAACTTAAGTATGCTTTAAAATTCCTGCTGGCTGCTAAACTGTAGCAAAATCATCTGAAATATTTATTTTGTTATGTGTTACGCATTTGTGAAAGTATTTGCCTATGTATATGTGAACAAAATGATTAGTTATTTTTTGAGAGAACCATAAATAATATGGGGCGCCTGGGTGGCTCAGTGGGTTAAGCCGCTGCCTTCAGCGCAGGTCATGATCTCAGGGTCCTAGGATCGAGTCCCGCATCGGGCTCTCTGCTCAGCAGGGAGCCTGCTTCCCTCTCTCTCTCTCTCTCTCTGCCTGCCTCTCTGTCTACTTGTGGTCTCTCTCTGTCAAATCAATAAATAAAATCTTTAAAAAAAAATAATAATAATATGACAGGACATTTTCCCCAACAGCTACTGAAATATATAAATAAAATAATTTTGAACGTGTAGAAATTATAACATATATTAATGAAGGAAGAAAAGCAGATGTGATCTAAAACTTGATATTTAACTGCACCTGAATTATAAACTGGACAATAATTTCAAAATCAGTTAAAAAAATCCAAATGAAAAAGGACATAGGTGAAAAGCCTAACTTTGTAATGATAGTAAGGAAAATACCCCTTATTTTCTCAGATTATAAAGTGAGTAAAAGATGTAGATATTCTGAATTTCCATATAAATACTAATTATTGAAGGATAATCTACCTTGTCTACACATTTTAAAGCAAGCCTAGGTATCCATTTTTGAGAAAGCCTGAATCCCTAAATGCTTTATTGAGAACTGCAGTCCATAATTACTCTAAAGGAATGTTACTTCCTGGACCCATATGGTTAAACTTATGCCTTTAATGCACACAGACAGTCTAAGGATTGACAGGTCTGTCATTTGGTCTTAGATTTTTTAACTGAAAATGCTATTCTTATTCACATTAAATGTCCCATTTTAAAAATTAGCTGTTAGTTTGCAATGATTTTCTATGGTAGCATATTTCTAGATTACATATGAAAACTATTTTTGCTTTTCTTCTTTCCCAGTGTACATCTCATACTTTTTGCTCAAATTTGTTGTCTTTAAAATGTTACCTACTGTTCTGGAAATTTCCTGAAGAGACAAAAGGGGTTAGATCCACATTAAATTACTATAAAATGAAGCACTTTGACTTTCCTTGTGGTTTCCATATTTTGCCTTAGGTCGGATAGTGACTTGACTTAATCCTTTCCAGAACTTGGAACAATGAAGAAATACATGTTGTGCTTCAGGAGTTTTGTGTTTTACTGCCCTTCTACCTGATAATTGATTCTACAGAATGAAATGTGTTCAACATTTTTTCCATTAATGCCTCCTAGAAACTGAAGCAGATCATAGTTGTGAAAACAAAAAAAGTTGTGCATAAACGGATATTTTTTTGGATAAAGCCATTTTATAGGAAGCTGATCTTTAAGGCAAACAACTACTTATTTTGGTTTCACAAAAGTCTGGACATTCAGGTTCGCTTACAGGAAGGCAGACCTGCATTGACATCACCTACTCCTAAGTTTAAGGGCCTCTGCCACCTCCACTGAGATTCTAATTATTCCTGTTTTATACACAAAAAATGACACAGAGTCATCAGACTTGCTTAAAGTCAGTGAAGAAGTGGCCTATTGGCTTCAGGCTTCCCAAATTTCAGATCAGTGTTTTCTTTAGAATACTGCCCTTGGGGGGACGCCTGGGTGGCTCAGTTGGTTGGACGACTGCCTTCGGCTCAGGTCATGATCCTGGAGTCCCAGGATCGAGTCCCGCATCGGGCTCCCGGCTCCGCGGGGAGTCTGCTTCTGTCTCTGACCTTCTCCTCGCTCATGCTCTCTCTCACTGTCTCTCTCTCAAATAAAAAAAAAAAAAAAAGAATACTGCCCTTGGTAAAGTCCCAAACATATATATAATAAGGCTTAGAGTTGCCTTCCTAAATAAACCCACACATTTGGGGGGGGGTGGGCATACACGCAGTGCAACAGACTCCCAGTCACATATTCCTCTGGTTTTCCTTTAGTTAGTTTTTCAGTTAGTTTTAATTACAGGAGGAACATGATTCAAGCACGATTGATTCAGTCTTTTCAGCTTGCTCTTCTTTTTTTTTTTTTTTTAAAGATTTTATTTATTTATTTGACAGAGATCACAAGCAGGCAGAGAGAGAGGAGGAAGCAGGCCCCCTGCGGAGCAGAGAGCCCCATGCGGGGCTCGATCCCAGGACTCTGAGATCATGACCTGAGCCGAAGGCAGCGGCTTAACCCACTGAACCACCCAGGCGCCCCTCAGCTTGCTCTTCTAAAGCACTTCTTGGTCAAACAGAAAATGCTTAGGTAAAGTGTACACATTTCGTACCAACTGCTTTGACTAATTCTGTGTTCTTAGCAATATCATTAATTTTTAATCTTAAAATGTCAAGCAATGGGTTATTCTGTAAGTACCAATTGACTTATCGTATTTCTATAATTGTAGAACTGGCAAGATTTGCTCTGAACTGTATTTTTCCATTCGGTTGTTAGGAAAATAAAAGCCCATCCCCATGATGCCAGAGAGCCAAACAAGCAGGATATTACACTGCTGTGGCAAAGGAGGAGAGAAAGACCAAGGCTCTCTGCAGCTGTTGCGGCCAGTAAGGTACCTGGAGAGTAACACCAATCTCTAGCTCTCACCAAACGCGTCACTTACAGCAGCTGGCTAAAACAGTCACTGGTGCATTATGGTACCGAATGACACTTTTACCTTGTGAAGCGGCTACGGAAACAGAAGGCAGCTGCAGTGGAGAGAATCCAATGCTCCCATTAAGGAACTGGCTGTTCGTTCCGGAATTGGGGATCTGGACAATGCCATACTGGTTAATTTGCACTGGTGTAGTAAAAGTCACCACAGAGCCTCCGTCCTGGGAAGCCACTGTCTGAACACCTTCTCTTTTTACCTCAGTGCTGGGGATGAGCCCTGGGAATGACACAGGGGCACTGGAGCTGTAAGACGTGGTGGCTGCTGAGTTAGCTGAAGAACTCTGGAGGACTTTGAATTCCTTCACATCCTGGGAGGTAGACCCCAGTATGTCACTCATGGATATACCATTGCTCACAATGTTTGAGGCCATTTTTGGGGGGTTCAATGACACAGTCTGTGTATTCCCCACATTTAATCCATTAAGGATGACTCCATTGGGTCCCTGAATGAAAGAATTACCATTAAGAAAGACAGGTGAAGTACTAGCGGGCACCAAGCTTCCGTTCAACAAAACTCCAGAAGAGCTTAATGAGATCTTAGCATTTCCAATTTGTTGCATGTATACTGGCTCCATGTGACTGGGAAGGCTGAGGTTGGCAACACTATCGGAGGAACCGGAGAGTGGATGAGGAGACAAGTCCTCATGGCCCTTGCTGGATTCATCTTCAGTGCTGGGATTGCCATCTGACTCACTGCAGAGAGGGGGAAAACCAAGACATTCCGAAGGTCAGAGGGATGACATTCTACATTGTGCCATTTGTTTAGAAATCCAGCCTCTAACCATTAAAGTCAGTATTTAAGGAAAGCAGGGCAGGAAGCCTTTGGTTCTGTTTAAGTTATGAGACCTTCCAGCAGATTCGGACCATCCAGAGAATGTGGGAAGATAAACTCTCCTGTGCCGACCATTTTTACCAATAATAAATTCAGGCAAAGTCCAGAGATCTGGATGATGTAAATTCAGCTAACAGGATTCACTATGAGAATTGTATATACATTTTTATAGCACTGAAGTTATTCCTTCCTGTTAAATTCGCTGCTACCTACACCACAGAAAAAACTCCCTAGATGAGGTGGTCAGTGGTCAGTCTTTCCTGTTTAGGAACTCCTTCCCCTCCCCTCAAAACCAATTCAGATTAGTGTGATCTTGGAGGGAAATGAAACTGCCAAAGGAGCAGGAGGTGGGAAGTGTTTTGTTTGTCAGTTAGTTAACAAGAGATCATTTTCTCACCTGCTCCCAAACTTCTACTCCACCAGACTGACAACTCTCTCATTCAACAAAGTGGCTGTCCTTGATGTAGGAAAGGCACTTTCAACCCAAGAACTGTTAGGTGCAGTCGCCTTTGAATCCAAAAGAAGCCATAGGGGCCTATTTAACATACACCATCCAGTGCCCTGGTGAGGTGGGAGGGAAAGGGTGTGGGTCACTCAGCAGCCTTGTAACCCCTTCCCCAGCACCCTCATTCCTTCTGCTCCAGGCCGGACTGTGTTCCTCACTCCTCCACTTAAGGGGAAACACCAAATCCAGGAAGGGGTAGTGGTGGGAGTTCCCATTTGGTCTGACGCTGGGCGGGGGAGAAAGGGTCAGTTAGTTGGCAGTTGGGAAGCGTGGTGCGACTTGGCCCCGTAGAAGATCCGCGTCCCTCGCAGTGCCCGGCGGTCGGTTCGCTTTTAGGAGGGGGCGGGGGGGATTACCCGGGCTTTGGGCTGCGGGGCCAGGAGCGCAGAAAGCGCTTTGATTTACGAGCTGAGGCTGAGCCGCCGTCGCCGTCTGCGAGGGTGACTCACCGGGGGTGCGGGTGGGAGGTAGATCCGGAGAGGGGCCCAAACCAGGCAACTGGGCCGGGGGCGGGGGGGTGTGTGGAGCTGGGCGGGGGGGACGTACAAAGCCGGCAGAGTGTGGCTAAGGAGATGGGGAACGCGCTCAGCCGGGGAGTGGGGGCTGCAGGGCAGCTGGCCTGCGTGCCACGCCCGCTTCCCACCCCCTGCCTCTGGCCCTGAGGATTCCGACGGAGCTCCGAGCGACAGGATCCAATGCCACAAGCTGGCGCAGGGTGACCAACGGGCCTCCTCTGGGTCTCCCCTAAAGTCTGCGGAAGGATGCATGCAAGTCACAGTGCGCGTTTTGTTTTGGTTACCGCGAGGCCCGGCTCGGACACAGCGCCTCCCTCCCTGCCTCAGGCGAGGAGCGCCGGAGCCGGCCGGCCCCGGGAGGGGCGCAGGGGCAGGAGCGTCAAGGGCGGACCGCGGCGGAGTCTGGAATGCGCGGGGTGATCACCTTCGCTCGGCCCGGACGCGCTCCCCGGCTCCCAAATTCCTAACCTGCGCAGAACCTCGAGCTGTAGGGTTCTTTCTGTCCTATGCCCGCGTGGCTTGAGACACCATCTCTTTAGGCGATCTTCTCCATAGTTCGCTCAACAATAAACAAAATACACCCTCCAGGTGTCTGACTCGAAAGGACGCACAAAAGAGGTGGAAACCCCATTTTCTACCAGTTGGGATCCAAAACTCTGCCAGTCCAAAACTTCAAACCCGCCAGGGTGGGCACTCTAGGAGGTGTGGAGCTGATATCGCCCCCACCCCCAATCGCTGTCCCAGGAGGGAGCCACGCAGGGTTCGGGGGCCGAGGAAGCAAGCCTTCCAGCCCCACTGCCCCGGCGGCGCTGAAATCCGATCCGAAGGAGTTCAGAATCAGGTTTCAAAACACGGCAGAGCCCAGCCGCACCATCACCCCACGTTGCCGCGGCCGCGAAGGGAACCACAGCGGGCCGGGTGAATGATTAACTCTGTCACATAAAACCTCGACGTCCCCAGACCCCCTTCTGAAACGCTAGCCCCCACCAACACCCTCATTCCTCCAGAGAGGCCAAGGCGACCTCCAACGCAGGTTGCGGCGGCGGGGGGGGGGGGGGGGGGCGGCAGCCGAACCCGGGGCGGGGGGGTGAAGGAGCTCGTGCACACGCCCGGCCGGTGTAACCCGCTGGAGGTGCAGACCCGGGCCCGCGCTGGCAACCTCCGTGGGCCTCTGGCGGCAACCAGAGCTGCCTTTCCGGCGCCTACACACGCTCCTGCGCCCCGCCAGAACCCGGGAGAGAGTGGCAACTTCAAAGCCAGCGGGATGGGGGTGGGAAACTGGGCGGCAGTGACCAGCCGAGGTGGGGGCGGGGACTGAGACCTAAGCGGGCGACGAGAAACTTCTGGGGGGAGGAGGGGGAGGGTAAGGAGGGAGGTTCCCCCGCCTCTCGCCACCGCCGCCCCCCCATCCCCCGGTCCGGGAGAGGTGGGGGGCGGGGAGAGGTGGGCAGCCGGACCAGGCTGGTGGGGAAGGTAAGCGCCATGTTTGCGAGCACTTGGAGGAAAAGAAAGCTGGGAAGGGGGTGGGGGAGAGGAAGGGGGAGGCGGAGGAAAGTTGGCGCTCACCTTTTGGACTGGGTCTCTGAGGGGTTCCGATCGCGCTGCCGGCGGTTCTTGAACCAGTTGCTGACCTGGGTGAGGGAGAGGCCGGTGATCTTGGCCAGGTGCCGCTTCTCGGCGGGCGAAGGGTAGCGATTCTGCTTGTAGAGCTCCTTGAGCGCGTTGCGCGACTTCTCCTTGAAACAATACACCGTCTCCTCGCCGTCCCAGATGGTGCGGGGCAGGGGGAATTTCCTGCGCAGCCGGTACTTGTCCACCGCGCCCAGTGGCCGGCCACGGGCTCGCTCGGCCTCGGTGTAGCGCGCCTTGTACCAGAGCTGCTGCAGCAGCGGGTGGTTGGCCGACTCGAAGCTGTGGCTCTCGAGGATGCTGTAGAGCTCGGGGTAGATGCCCTGGTGGAAGGCCACCAGCGCCCGCGCCTTCAGCAGGCTCTCGTTGCCACGTAGCAGGTCGCTCTGGGGCAGGGACCACAGGAACCGGGCCAGGCGGTCCAGGTTGCCCCCCTGCTGCAGCGCCTCGCACACGCAGGCGACATGGTCGGGCGAGAAGGCCAGTGGGGTCTGCGCGGCGGCAGCGGCGGCGGCGACGGCGGCCGCGGCGTGGTGGTGCCTGCCCAGAAGTTCCGAGTGGAGTTGTACCTGATCCGCCGCCGCTGCCGCCACTGCCCCTTCCTCTCCGCTCACCCTTGCGGCGGCGGCCGAGGCGTCCCCCGGCTCCAGGGGGAAAGGGGCTGGAGCCGGGGGGCTCAGCCCCGCCGCCGCGCCCCCCGCCACTTCTCGGGGCGCCTCCTGCCCTTCCGAGGCGCTTTCCATCCCATTCTCCTGCTTGATGTCCGCCGCACTTGCAATCTGCCCGGTGGGGGAGGAAGAGGACATTTTTTGTTGTTTATTTTCCTCCCTCCCTCACTCCCTCGCACTCTTTTCCTCTTTCTTTCCCCCTCTCTTACTCCTCCTTCTTCTTCTCCCTCCCTCCTCCCCCCCTCCGGAAAGCCCACTCCCTCCCTCCCGGTTTCGGCTGGATCTGGCCGATCAGGTTTCCCCCCGGCCACGCAGTCACCATTAAGATAGCTGCTAGAGCAAAGTAGTGTAAAAGGATAGCTGCTTTCTGCTGTTCCCCCAACGTGACTCCTCGGGTTGCTGCATACTATATGGCACTGGCGGCCGGGCCCGGCCGGCCGCGCTACCTCATTGGCTATTTCACATTCAGAGGGAGGAGGAGACACGGTTTCTATCCCTGTCGATCACCCTCCTCCCACTCCACCCCTTGCCTTTCCCTCTCCCCCTGACCCCCAGGCAACTATACCTGAAGGGAAACACCGACATTCTTTTTAGGCAATGCTCCTGGGCGGGAAATTACCTAATGTGGCCTGAAAACTGGACAACAGGCTCTTTCAAAGAGAGTCCCTAGGATTCCAGCGGGAATATTAATTGTGTGGCCTTAAGGTCCAGATGCTAAACTCTTAACAAAGAGACCACCGTCAAGCATCCAGATGACAAAATTTCAAAGGAGACGATTGAGAAGCTTTTCTATGTTCCTGTTTCCCCTTTACCTCCCTTTCCAAGATGACTTTATCAAGGATTTTGTATTCAAAAGGGTCCAGAATAGAATGTCACTAGGGAATGTTCCAAGTGGAAAAGGTTTATGGTAAACTAAAAAGGGGGAGATATTTGAATATCTTAGAATAATAGATGTATAAAGAGCCCACTGAAAGGACAAAAACAAGAAACCTTCAAAAGGCATTTAACCTTCACTCACCTGGAGGTCTGGCAACACAACAAAGTTGAACAGGGTGCAACTAAGGATATAGACTGTTTAATCAATGTGTTTATCTCAGGGAATAGGGTGGAAGAGATCTAAGCTTTAGATTATAATAAAGTATGGAAATTTAAGTCTTCCGTATGGACATTTTTCATGTAAGTGTATGAATAGTTCTCTGGAGGTGATATTCTTGGTGGAAACACCAGTTCTAAGTGCAGGTGTATTCCAGGAGATCAATGCAGGATCAGCAGCCCTTTCAGCAGCACAGACAGATGGAAGACTGCCCTCTGGTTTGAGGTGAAATGCCTGGGGGTGGAGTCTGCTGCTGTTTGCAGTCATGTCTCTTTTATGGTTTGCATGAGGTCTTAACACAGAAAAGGATGAACCCGTCTCTGCTTCTGTGATTTCTTTGGAATAGTTAGGTCCATCTGCTGGTTTTCTTTCTGAAAATCCAACATTTTAATGACATCGTCCTAACATCATCTTTCAAGGTGGCTTTGTGTTGTTTCTGCTTCCCAGTTACCCGTAACTGCCTATTTCAGCATATTATGAAGAAGCTGTTTAGGTTACCTGCTGTCCTGATCAACTTGGTGAGGTTTTGTTTTTGGTGGACAGATTTGTTTCATTTCTGTCCAACCAAGATGTCATTCGATTTTGGACTTGCTTTTGTACTGTCCTAATGAAGACAGCACTGAAATCTCTGGCAGATTTAAAAATTCATAGTTATAGAAAAGACCACGGGTCTATACCCCATGGAAACACGCAGGTAGGTATCCAGCTTTAGGACAATATCTGAGATTCACAACTTCCTTGAATTAAAAAAAATTTTTTAGAATAATTTTGACTTACAGAAAAGTCACAAAAAGAGTTCAGAGAGTTCCCATCTACTCTTTACTTAGTTTTCCCTAATGTTGACATTTTACATTACGATGATACATTTGTCCAAACAAATTAACATTGCTGCAATATTATTAACCAAACTGTAGACTTTATTTGGATTCACCAGTTTTTCCATTGATGTCTGTCTTCTATTTCACAATCCAATCCAAAATATGACACTGCATTTTATTCATTGAATTTTTAAAGCATATTTATCAGAACAGAGTAGACAGGAGGTAGTATGGTTTAGTGGAAAAAATGTGGACTTGGGGATCAGCTAGCTAGATGTAAGTTTGTTTTGTTTTGTTTTTAAAGATTTTATTTATTTATTTGACAGACAGAGATCACAAGTAGGCAGAGAGGCAGGCAGAGAGAGAGAGGGGAAGCAGGCTCCCCGCTGAGCAGAGAGCCTGATGTGGGGCTCCACTCCAGGACCCTGAAATCATGACCCAACTTGAAGGCAGAGGTTTAACCCACTGAGCCATTCAGGAGCCCCTAGATGTAGTTTTAATCCTAGTTCTGCCATTTATTAGCTACTTGATATAAAAAGTGGACAGGTTTGTTGTGATGATTAAATGAGATAAGGTGTGCCAAAAAGCACCTGGCACATGATTAATCTTTGTTAAATGTTTGTTTGTTAATGTTTGTTACCTTCCTCCTGATAATGCAAAGTAGGAAACTTTTTTCAGTTGCATATATCCAATGAAAACTCATTTGGCTATATTATAGGATGATCCAAGTTCAGTTCATAGGACTCTTCTTCAGGCTTGTTATCCATTTAATATAGTGCGTTTATTTGGAAAACCACTTACTGGGTTTCTGCATGTCTTCTGAGCATGTCTTTTGCCTCCAGAGCACCAAGTTCAACAGATCATATAGAAGCAACAGTGACCTTTTGTGAATTTGCAGCCTGTAGCTACAGTGGTATTGTATAGCTCCAGGAGGAGATTCCTGTAGAACCAGAAGTGAAATGCAACACCCAGCTCTGGATTCCTTCAGCAGGCTGAGCCTCAGGCTCATTCTGGCAGCAATGCGAAGTGGGACCGGAGGTCCTCCACTTCAACAGGGTCAGCTCCTTTGGAACGGAACACCAGACTTGAGCGTCCGTGGCGTCGGTCTCCGAGCACTGGTTTACAACTGATTTGTGAAATCGTTGACTGCTTCTACTCCCCACGTCTGCCATGCTGTAAACACTTGAGTCGGCTGTATTGAATGCAGTCTAAAGGGGTGTTATGACTTGGGAAAACAGAGTTGAGGCTGGGGTTGTGTGAGGGTGAAAACCAACCTGCTTGCTTCTGGATCTTTTCCTTCCAGCCTGAGGATAGCAATGAGCGAATATGGAAAACTTTTGCTATTTTAGTGTATTGAAGAAAATCTGGCTTGGCACACATTTTTACTCTGCTTGAGTATATTTAATGGTGTTGCCGAGAGTAGAGATGTCCTTTCTCAAGGCTGACTTTGGCTGCCTTGGTAGAGGGATAGATAGAGGGAAGGCCTATATAACTGTATGGTGTTGGGCTCTTTCCATTTCTGAAGCTCATGTACTGGTACTATTAAGAAGTTAGGTTGGAAAGTCATCTCCCAGGTAGAGGGGGCGTTCTATTGTTATTTAGTGACCAATAGTTGGTGATATGCAGTCAGCATTTCTGAAGGATCATTCATTTGCCAAATATTTATTTGGTCCTGATTAAGTGCAATTTATTATATTAGGTACCAGATGATAGCAAGATGAATATTTGGGGGTCTCTGAAGGGCTTAAAATCTGGTGGGAGAGATAAAACACATCCATTAGGAAATACAGTAAAGGGGATGGGAGTAGTGAGGATAAAGAGGTTAATTTTGGGAGGATGAGGGCAATAAGGAGTGCATTTTTTTTTTTTAAAGATTTTATTTATTTATTTATTTATTTATTTGACACAGAGAGAAAGACAGCAAGAGAGGGAACACGAACAGGGAGAGTGGGAGAGGGAGAAGCAGGCTTCCCACGGAGCAGGGGGCCTGATGTGGGGCTTGATCCCAGGATCCTGGGATCATGACCTGAGCCAAAGGCAGATGCTTAATGACTGAGCCACCCAGGCGCCCCTGGGGAGTGGATTTTTTTGCTAGGTCTTTAGAGACAAGAATTTTGAGAGGACAAAGTTAGAGATCGATAGTGGAAGAGGGAAGAAAATGAGTAGAGCATGGAGCCATGAAAGTATGTGTATATTTATGAAAATATTGAGTACTTCAGTCTGTCTGGGTTGTGGGGTTTATATAGTTGTGTGGTGGGAGATTAGCTTAAAAGGCATCTTGGGGACAGATTTTTGAAGGTCTTTGAATGGAATGCTCAGTTTGCTGTGGCATGAAGCACCCAGTGGTCCATGTCCACAGTAGTCTGTGTGTAATGTCATAGCCATGCCACATAGCCAAAGTGTCCAGGGATGGACACTTTCCACAAACCAAAGCATTCAGAATCCTTTTCTGGGGTTTTTCACATTTTAATGAAGAAAAAAGTTAAGACTGGGAGAGGGAGCCTTGGATGTAATGCTTGGGAGTTCTTAGTAACCAAACTATCTACCTGTGGAGAACATGGATGAGCAATAGGTAGGAGGGAAGGTGACCTAGTGAGTCTCATGGGTGATAGTGGAGGGAGAAGATCCCAGCAGAGGCTGAGTGAGTGCCAGGTTCTAGTAATCTCCCAAGTGTAGCAGCATTCTTGCCTTTTTGTGGTGATGCGGATTTCTCTAGGAGCCAGAAACCCCTCCTTGAGCTAGACTTGACAAAAAGATGAATTTATTGGAATCTGATACCAAACCGGGTGAAAACCTGGAATGCAACTGGTTGAACTTAAAAGACCTGTTGTCCCATGTCACTTGCCCCTTCTCTTTTGTCAAGTTAGTTTTAGCCTTTCAAAGGGCTTTACCCAGAAGATGGGAACCAGGGCTCTCAGGAGTTTTCAACTCACATTTTCTAGCTTCTGGGTTCTCCTGCTTTTCCTTTAATGCCAATTTGAAAAATTCTAGGGAAGATTTCTGATTGGCCCAGTAAGGGTAGTATATCAACCTCTAGACCAGAGGGCCAGGACCATGATTGGCAAGCCCATTAGAACCAAAGAAGCCTGTTGGGGAGGAGTTGTTTTCCATAAGAAGGGGGGAGGATGCTATCTTTAGTCAAGGGACAAAACAATAAATAAATGTCACCTGAAGATGAGGAAAGCCCAGTCTGGATCCATAGCCTGGGGGCTAGGAAAGGAGGGTCTGCATTAGAGAAACATTGCCCCAGGGAGACAGGATCTGCAGACTTGGTAATGCTAGAAGATGAGCAGATATGGGAAGAGAAATAGTGGGCCAGTTGGTTCACTGTTGGGCTGCTGCTGTCTTAATATCTGTAGGAAACCTGATAGTTTAGTAGTTTTTACAAAGGCTGAGAAGTTCCATTTGAATCAGAAGTCAGGTGCTTGAGGGCTTTCCTCTTCAAAGCTTTCTGATCATTCTATCTTAGTGAACCCCACAAGTAATAATGGTATACATTTCAGAGTTTCTATTATGTACAAAGCATTGCAGTAGGGCCACATGTTATGTAATTTGATAATTGTAGCAACCCCATGAAGTGTATTACGTGGAGGAAAGTAGCTGAGGTAAGGGAGGGTAAGAAATTTGGCTCAAAAACAGGTCTGGCTCATTTAAGAGGAGTCTAAGTTCTTCCCATTACATTACCTCTTTTAGATACTACTACTCTTATAGTACTGTTAATAATGGCTAACAGTTATTGAGCTCTTACTCTGTGCTAAGCACTTTAAATGAAATAACTCATTTAATCTTTACAAATACTGTCCTTGATTTATAGTTAGGAAAACTGAGGCCTGAAGCCCTGCAACTAGAAAGAGATGAAGATAGCACTTGAATCCAGGTCTCTTGGAGGCAGGGGCCAGATCTCTAAGCACTACTTTCTACTGTCTCCAGCTCCATGAATGATGCTTGTCCAGTAAGAGTTCCAAGTCAGCTGTTGCTACCATTCTTCTCTGATAAGTAGTTCACAACCTGGGAAAGGGATAAAACTGGTGGCCATGTTTCCTCCCACAGTCTTCAGTGCTTTCTTTGCCTTGGTGTCAAGATTTGCGCTAAAGGCAAAACAATTCACAAAGTGATTGGGGTCTCCTTTTCAAGGACATGATTAAAGGTGTCCTGGTGGTAATAAACAAGAATGCCAACTTAATGGATGATGTCTCAGTGTAGTATTGGCTAAAAAAAAAAAAAGAAAAGAAAAGAAAAAAATTTAAGAGAAGGGTAGAGGGGCAAAGGAAGAGGGAAAGAATCTTAAGCAAGCTCCATGCCCAATGCAGAGCCTGATATGGGCATCAGTCTCACAGCCCTGAGATCATGCCCTGAGCTGAAATGAAGAGTCAGTCACTTAACTGACTGAGCCATCCAGGCACCTCTTGGCTTAAAATTTTATTTGCTCACCGACCACATTTACTCTTTAACCAGAAGTTTCCTATTCTATTAAAATATAAAGATAAAAAAACCGTCTTTATTTTTATTTTATTTATTTATTTTTTAAGATTTTATTTATTTATTTGACAGAGAGAGAGATCACAAGTAGGCAGAGAGGCAGGCAGAGAGGGGGAAGCAGGCTCCCTGCTGAGCAGAGAGAGCTCTATGCAGGGCTCGATGCAGGGCTTGATGAAGGGCTTGATCCCAGGACCCTGAAATCATGACCTGAGCCAAAGGCAGAGGCCTAATCCACTGAGCCACTGAAGTGCCCAAAGTTGTGTTTATTTTTAGAGAGCTTCACTCTGAGTCATGTATCTGGTTTGGATGTGGTCTTTTTCAATAAGACAATAGCAGCACAATAAGTCTCCAGGTCAGCATAGCATTTGCATTGCCTATTTTAGTAAACTTACATTTGGTTAGCTCCTGTTAGTGAACAATACTATGATCAAGCAGATGACATGATTTGTTTATTAGGCGAATCCCTGATGTCTACATTTTAATATAAGCCCTGTGCTGCTGTAGCTTGCTTTGGTCCACTGGTTCCTAGATGTGGTATCCAGCTGTTCGTCAGGTTCCCCCTCCGTAACCCATGGAAACTGCAACTGTATTACCACACCATGGGTTTTCTACTGAGTTCACCGTGTAAAAAAGTGGGAGTTGGAATGTTCCTTTTTATGTTTTTATTGAAAAGAGCAAAAGTGCTATGAAAAGATAAAATTACTATGTGTGTATATACTTTGTATGGGTTAATTTGAAAAACTTTGCATGCTTACTTCTGATGGAATTTGGGTCAGATTACAAGATAATGCTTGGCTTAAAATTTTTTTCACAGTAAACTAGTATTTGATGCTCATTCATTCTTCACTGTACTTATTCAATAAAATATCAACAAATCCTTATTATGTCGTTGAACATGTGTCCCCTATGGAGGGAGGAGTTTATCCAATAGAGCTCTTTACAGACTTTGTTTTGCAATCTTGATAACTGCATTGAATGTGGCTTACAATTGCCGGAGACATTCAGGCTCTCAGATCCTACAATTGCTGAAATAAAGTGTATATTCTTGGGGGTGTTGGGAGGGGGGTATAAGAACCAGGTGACGCAGTTTAAGTATGCTTGATAGTCTTGAAGCAAGTGGCTATCTGCAGAGCAGATGCCAGATACTATGTATAGAAGTATCTGACATTTAGTGAGAATCTGTAATATTTAGGGTCGGTGTAGGGGCTTTTGTTCTAGATCATTTTTCCAAACTTTTATCTGTCAATACATCGTATTTTCTGTGCTTGCATGACTGTGCAAGTATAAAGGAGAGTATAAAGCATAGGCTATCGAATTGTTCAAAAGAAAATGCCAGTCTAAATTATTGATTATGTACACAGGGCATAAATCTTTGAAATCATGGTAATGTTTCCAGAAAGTACAAGATGGAATCTATGTCTTAGATTTCCTTTAAAAAATACTGCTAGATGCATGGGGATGTAGCTTTGCGTACAATTTACCATTTTAATAACCCCAGCGGGAGATCTAAGGTAGTGAGTGTACTGGCCTACGGAAGCTAAGACCAAGCACCCGCTGCAGGACCGGAAAACTTGCTGCCGGAACCTTTGTGCTGCAGTGTCTCGCCTCCGACCGGTGCTCATTCTCAAAGGGACCGTCTCAGCCGAGTGCTTGTTGGTAGGAACCCGCTTGGCGTCGGGTCTGTGGAGGTTTGGGGGTGCTCTGGCTGTAACTGAAGCAGGCGTCGGGGAGAGTCCATAGGAGAGAAGGCGCCATGGACGATCAGGGCTGCCCCCGGTGTAAGACCACTAAATACCGGAACCCCTCCTTGAAGCTGATGGTGAATGTGTGCGGACACACGCTGTGAGTCGGGAGACAGTGGGTTCCGTGGGGGGTGAGACGCGCAGGGTGGGAGGAGGGAGCAGGGAGATGCTTGGCCTTGGCTCAGGGGAGAAAAGAGGGCGTCGTTCGTTTCGACACTGAGGAGGAAAATGGGAAAAGGAGCGTTGTTTCTGTGAACGGACTCTAGCCGCCAGCCCCTGAGCCGCGCCGGCCTGCTTTGGACTGCTGGTGCCCAGATGTAGTACCCAGCACTTTGCCAGGCTCCCCCCTTCACAGCCCATGTATTTCCACACTGTGTTGACAACTGGGGTCCAGCCGTGTCGCTGGTGAAAGGGCGGCGGATTGGAGTGTTTCATTTCACGAGCAGTATTTTTATTGACAAGGGCGAAATTGCTATGAAAACAAAATTACTGTGACTATATACTTCTGTTTATTATGGGGGTTGATTTGAAAACCCTGTCTGTAAACCAGTTTGTCTTGACGGAGTTTGGTTAGACATTCTCATCGCTGGAAGGGAGAAAGTCTAGATTCTCGGCAGTTAATTTTGGAGAGAGAATAATGGCTGGCATTTAACGAGGTTACATTGTGTGCCAGGCACTGTTCTGAGCTTTTACCGTGAGTTGTCTCCCTTCATTCCCTCAACCGCCCCATGAGGTAAGTACTAGTCTTATTCCCATTCACAGAGAAGGAGGCCGAGACTGCTCAAGGTCCCTTATTAAGTGGGCCCTGCTAGAATTGGAACACACCATGTTTGACTGTGGAACGCTCATTTTGGGGAAGGGACAGGAAAGAGAGAAGTTGAGTTTGCGTATTTTGAAGAATGAGTGCAGGAATTGGTCAATATATTTCTTGTCACATTTTTAAAACATATATTTTATTTATTTACTAGAGAGAGAGACAGAGAGAGAGCGAGCGCGCGCGCGCTCGCTCGCTCGCCCGCACGTTGTGGGGTAGGTAGGGGCAGAAGTAAAGGCGGCCAGTGTAGGGGGAGCAGACTCCTTGCTGAGCAAGGAGCCCGATGTGGGACTCATTCCCTTGACTGCTGGATCCTGACCTGAGCCTAAAGCAAAGACTTAACCGACTGAGCCCCTCAGGCGCCCCTTCTCGCCACATCTTTATGGTCACTTGTAGTATAGTAAAGGTGGTTTTATAAAGCACTTTGGGATTAAAGGTGATATATTATGGTGAGCATATATTCCTGTAATTTCTCTGAGGTTTCTTAGAAATAAAAAATGACGTATAAGCTGCAGTGTGATAGACTAAGTCTTTGGGAAGCAAAACTTGCATGATCAGTTGTAGTTATTATAATAAGGTTTATTAACTTGCTTAATTGGTACTTTTTCTTATTTTCATTTTCTTTTGCTCTATCCAGTAAAGGGAATGCAATAGAACTGTGATTGAACGGTTTAAGATTAGAAATAAGGTAAAAGTAATAAAATAGAATGCATGGAAAAGGGGAAGTGAGATAGTGTATAAAGACTAATAGGTTTTTAGGGAGATTTCCTTCAATTTCTCTTCATTTGCCTGTATCAGCTGTGTTGGTGCTCAAAGAAAGTGAATTTACTTTTTTGGAAGGATACTAAATGTAATTTTCTGCCAGATGTTTCTGCCTAGTAGAAATTAGCTAGTCAGAGAAGATTATGATTTCAGTAAGATAAATGGCATTTTTATTAGACAATTATGAAATAATTTATTTTTAATTAGAGATTGCTTTTGTTGTTTCCTTAGTCTTTTTTGTTTTCTCAAAAGAGTTAAGAATTATCTAAGTTATTGGGGCCTGGCTGGCTCACTTGGTAGAGCGTGTGACTCTTGATCTTGGGGTTGTGAGTTTAAGCCCCACGTTGGGTGTAGAGATTACTTAAAAAATAAAATCATTAAAAAAATTGTCAAAGTTATTCTTGTGTTTCATTTATTTTGGTTCAGTTACTAACTTGTTAGCTATAGCCCACATTTTATAGTTCTTTTTTGACTTGATAAATGAACAAAATGAATAAGAGAATATAGAGTATTGGCTAAGAGAATAAACTTATGATTTTGAATTCTTTGCACGGTCCCTATATAGGGCTTGGCTTTGGGCAAATTACTTATTGTACTCATTTTTCTTATTTGTACAATAGAGGTAGAAGCATTACCTATATTACAGTGTTTGAGGATTAAATACTATATGTAAAATATTTGGAGGTGTTTTATAGAGTTTCTCTACTGTCAAATACAGTATTTGTTTAATACTATCTGTAGTATTTGTTTGATGCTATCATATTCTTACTTGTGGATAGTATGTGTGCTAAGCAGAAATGAAATTGAGGGGCGCCTGGGTGGCTCAGTGGGTTAAGGCCTCTGCCTTCAGCTCAGGTCATGATCGCAGGGTCCTGGGATGAGCCCCGAGCCCTGTATTGGGCTCTTTGCTCAGCGGGGAGCCTGCTTCCCCCTCTGTCTCTGCCTGCCTCTCTGCCCACTTATGATCTGTCTGTCAAATAAATAACTAAATAAAATCTTAAAAAAAAAAGAAATGAAATTGAAACAGGAGTCATTTGGGCTACTATGAAGGACTTGCACAATAATGATTATATTTAAATGAATTCAAGAGACTAATAATATGCTAAAGTGTTAGGTTTAATTATAGTGACCCTATTGTGATAGAGTGAGTAGGAGTAGTGATTCATGAAAGATATGAAGTGTAGGATTATGGAAAGATTAATTAGGGTGTACGGTTTATGGGAGAAAATGCAGGAGCAAAAAGGAGAAAGGAGGTGAAACATTCCGAAAATACGCCTCCGTTACCTGCTAGTAGTTGAGGAAGCATATTCAGTTCAATCCAGCAAATACCCAAATGAATTGATTACATGTGCATGAAAGAAGTTTGGATTCCATGTTCGTTTTTTTTTTTTTTTTAAAGATTATTTATTTATTTATTTGTCAGAGAGAGAGAGAGAGAGAGAGCGAGCACAGGCAGACAGAATGGCAGGCAGAGGCAGAGGGAGAAGCAGGCTCCCTGCCAAGCAAGGAGCCTGATGTGGGACTCGATCCCAGGACGCTGGGATCATGACCTGAGCCGAAGGCAGCTGCTTAACCAACTGAGCCACCCAGGCGTCCCTCCATGTTCGTTTTTTAATTCAAGGATGAGCTTTGTTTTAATTACAGAAAAGTGTGATTTTTTTTTTTTTCTTTTTCCAGACCACCTGTTTTAAGAAACAGGCCTTTCATAGAATTCTGGAGCCATGCTGAATTAGATCGAGTTATACCTAATTCTCATTTAACCAGGTCTTTAATAATAATTTAATTTTAATCCCAGCCATTCTTGGCAAAACTCATCTCTGGAAACTTTAGATGTATTTGATTTTACTAAATCCACGTTTTTCATTTTAAACATGCTTAAGACACAGAGTAGTAGAATAAACAAACATTCGGTGCCTGGGTGGCTCAGTGGGTTAAAGCCTCTGCCTTAGGCTCAGGTCATGATCCCAGGGTCCTGGGATCAAGCCCCGCATCGGGCTCTCTGCTCAGCAGGGAGCCTGCTTCCTCCTCTCTCTCTCTCTGCCTGCCTCTCTACCTACTTGTGATCTGTCTGTCAAATAAAGAAATAAAATCTTAAAAAAAAAAAAGAATAAACAAACATGTCCTGTTATATAAAAGTCAGCATTTGGCCATATTTACTTAAGACCTTTTTCTCTTCCCTTTTTCTATTCCTGCTTCTCACCTACTGGTGAGTTTCTGAGAGTTACTACTATGAATTTTGCTGATTGTGTCTCTGTGGTATTAATATGTTCCTCTGTATTTTCTCTAAATTATTTTATTTATTTATTTAAAAGATTTTATTTATTTATTTGACAGAGAAAGAAGTCACAAGTAGGCAGAGAGGTAGGCAAAGAGAGGGAAGCAGACTCCTTGCTGAGCAGAGAGCCTGATGTGGGCCTCAATCCCAGGACCCTGAGATTATTACCTGAGCCAAAGGCAGAGGCTTAACCCACTGAGCCTCCCAGGTGCCCTCTTAGTTGTGTGTGGAAGCTATATCAGGTTAAAGCTCAACTTATTTATTGTTGGAAAGAAGGACTCATAAGTGGAATTAATTTCTTTGTTCTAACTGATATTCTGGACTAACCTTTATGCAAATTAGGAAACAGTGTCTCCTTTGGGCAGGAAAAGTAGGAAAAGGGACTCATCTTGGTAAAAGAATTTAAAAAAGGGGACTTGTAGATCTATTATTGTTAATTTCTAATTTTCTATTGTGGTAGGAGATTATTAAATTTCAGTCTTTTGAAATTTTCTGAAAACTTATTTATGGTCCAGCAAATGGTCTATTTCGGTGAGCAGTCAGTGTATATTTGAAAAGAATGTTCTGTGACTGCTGGGTGTATTATAAATGTTGATTAGGTCAACTTGGTTGGTGGCGTTACTCAGATCATCTGTATTTTACAAATTTAATTTGTCTACTCATTTTGTCAATTACTCCAACTAGATTGTGGATCTGTCAGTTTCTCCTTTTAGTTCTGTTATGTTTCATGTATTTTGAAGTTCTCTTATTAGGTACATAGATATTTAGGATTGCTGTGTTTTCTTGATGACGATCTCCTTTTGTCATCATGAAATGTCTCTTTTTGTCTCTTGAAGTATTCTTTATCCTGCAGTTTTTGTCTGAATTAAATAGTCATGTCAGCTTTCTTATGCTTACTGTTTGATAGTATATCTTTTTCCATCCTTTTACCTTCAACCAGTTTATATTACTCGTTAGTTAACATCTTGCTCTTTTATCTGGCCTTCAAATTTCTGCCTTTTAATTGGTGTTTTTGTTCTTTTATATTTAATGTGATTATTGAACTCGTTGGGTTTAGGTCTACTTGTTTTCCATTTGTTCCTTTTGGTTTTTGTTCTTGTTCCTTTCTTGCCTTGTTTTGATTAATTGCATATTTTAAAGTATTGGCCATTAGCAATAGCTCTTTGTTATTATTTTAATATTGTAAATAGTTTTTGAGTGGTTTCTCTATGTATAACAATGTATATCTTTATCAAAGTGTATTTAGAGT